TCTTATCTTTTAACTTACTTCGTCATAGGCCATGCAATTTAAAATCTAAACATCTTACTTTAAATTATTATTAAATTAATTAAATAGTTGATAATAATAAAAGCTTATTAAGTAGAAATATCTCTATTCCATAATTGATGTTTTAAAATTTAGAACATTCTTGTCTCTGGGGTTTACAGATTGCTACTATTAGTGTCTGATAGCAAATAATTTCTCGCAGATGTCTTTTTGAGCAACTAGAAAATAATCTCTCTCTCATTCCTAGATGTTGGAACTTTGTTCGGCAAGATATCTGATTCTCTGTCTAAGATTGGAGCCTGGCTTACCCTAGAAAGACTCGCCCAACAATGAAGAGTGTTCGGTTTGGAAATTTACAAATAATTATTAAATATTAATTTTAATAAAATAAATTAAATATTTTAAATTATAAATTATAATTATTAAATAAAAAATTTTATTTTCAGTTATTAATTATATCTAAATAATTAATAAAAAAAACACCTAACTTTTCTTAAAGTGGCTTATTTTGAATCTAAAATCTATTTTGCCAGTTCAGCTTGGGTCCGTTATCTTATTTTGCTGGCCTTGATTAGGTTCACAATCCTATTTTGTTAGTCCTAACACAGTTTCAGAAACAATCCTAATATTTGCATTAACTGTAAATATAAATCAAATTTTGAGAAAGGTAGGTAACTTTTTAGAAACTTATAAACCTGTTGCAAAAATTTAAGAATTTCTACTTTAGCCTTTTTTTTTTTTTTTTTAATAAAGAATGGGTTTGAAACCCGTTCATAGAGAAAGGAAAATGTATTTCAAACTAACAGGATATCAATTGACTGAATGGCTCATGTGCACCTATTTTTAAATTTGTTAAAGAAGAATTTATTGAAAAGAATTTACTTTTAAATTTCAACAAACAATCTCATATTATATAACTTTTTAGCTCATGTTTGGTGATTAGTAGTAATTATTTCTTATCAAATTATTCCCATCCAATGGTCACAGATAACAACAAAAGAGTCATATGTCCATTACTTTTAATATTGTTATTTTAAGATATAATTCTGTATACAGGCCCTCCTGCCGAAAAAATACTAGGACAGCTTCAAAAAACGTCGCTGTTTTGTTTCTTTTAACCAATTTTTAGCTTTGAAACTATTCAAGGGCTTCCAACCTCTTCCTCTTAACGACTGATATTCTCTTCTTGCTGTTGCACGGTCAGCTCCTATTACCCTCGACAAGAAACCATTTTGGCACAAGAAGAGGACTAGAGCTGAGTCCCCAAGTGGTGAGTATATTGTGGGTTGGTTTCTTTATTATTTGGTAATTTGCAACTTATATTTAGCACCATAAGAGCAAGACGATGTGGTTTTTGTTTTGTATGTTCTAGTGGTTTGATTGAATTCAATGACTTTTTATCTGTTGTTGTTTCAACTTAAATTTAATGAGTATTGACGGAAATTGGGAAATAGGCAGATTACCTTCCTCTCCTCCTAAGATGTTCCTCGAGGATCCCAGAAACCACGCCAATCTCCCCAAGCATGACCTCGACCAATGCGTTAGAAGAAAATGGTCTTGAAAGAGGGCATAGTGTCGTGCAAATCGCGCTTGCATGGCTTGTTATCTTTTGCAAATGGTTCACAGCCATCTTCTATGACGGAATCTGGGCTTCATTGGCAGATTCATATATAGGAGAATATGACAAGCATGATGTGTAAAACTTATGTTATTTACTATAATTTCAGTTATTTTCTAAGGTTCATGGTTAATAGAGTATGACTAGCGCTGTATGATCTATTTATTCAGAGGCAAAGATTTTTTGAACTTGTCTTAGAAAAGAATTGATTTAGTTAATTATTTAGAGTGTTGTCCCAAAGAAACAACTATATTATAAACATCATTGAGATGTATAAAATCTAAAAGCTTTCATATTTTTTTGCTGAACAGCCAAGAAAAAGTTTTTTTTACAAAGGGTAATGTAACCCTTTTATGTCAAAATTAACTTTACTAAAACATAGTATAAATGTATCTCATAATACATCACAAAGTCATTCACACCAAACCAATAACTCAAACAATGGCAAGCTTTCCCCCAACCTGCATCAAGCTGCCCCTTACATTCTATTAGCTTCACACTTTGCCATTGTTGATAACTCCAATTCATAAAAGTAAAACTGTTTGCTTTTAATCCACTAAAATAACCAGTTCAAATATTTTTTGGACCACCCAGCAAACAAATTTCTTGGGCAATTCCATCTTCTAGATCAAAATTGTTTGATTGCACTCATGCTACTCGAATTTTCATCATCCACAACCAATAGCAAATTTGCTTGTCTTGTTTAGATAACAGGAACGAGTTGCTACAAAGAAAGGACCTGTTGGATGATAAAGATGTACATGTCCATGTCCACGTAACTTTTTTCTTTTTATTTGCCAAAAAAAAAAAAATGAGGAAGAAGAAGAAGAAGAAGAAAGTCTTAATACAACAAATCCTCAAACTAAATCTTTAAGCAAAATCTATTGGCTTGTTAATCTTGATCCTACAGCAAATTTATTGTTGAATAAGTCTTATCATGTCCTATTCTTTAAGAAACAACTTGTTTTTTTTTTTTTTGGTATGACCATCTGGTATCCAAAAATCCATTGAGCCACTTACTAATCCAGATTCGAGTCGGGCAAGACCCTATGGACGACAAAGCTCTCCCTCGTGAGTTTTAACGGAACTGCATTCCCTGGGCAGAAACAGCTTGCTTGTTTGCTAGTCTTTAGGACTTAAGTGCAGAACATGTCAATATGCACATTAGTTATGTAGCTTGTTTTTAGGATCTAGTCTTTGGCTATAGGCCATCATTAGTAAAA